GGTCAGTAAATTAACTATTTTCATTACTCTCTCGTATTTTTGTACTGAAAGAAACAAGTTCATTATTATCACTTAGATTCCTTTAGTAATGGTTCAATAGCCCATACCCATCACTCTTTCATTTTCACGTGTTCGAATCACGAATATGATTGCTTGTTTTATATTCATTTTAAAGATTTACGAAACGATAAATGTTCAGTGGTTCAGTGGTCGGTGATTTTAATTTGGACAATTATGGTTTCAGAATATAGAAAAAGGTAAATACGACAAAAATCTAACGTGGAGTAGTATTTAACGAGTTAATTTTTCGATTATGAAAAGGTATAAAAATAAATAGTTTTAAAAATAAGCAAAGGATTGTATAAGTTTGCCTTTGCTTATTAAATCTCTATAAGATGTTAATTATCATTTTTCCCAAAAAATATTTATTAACTCATCAATTTCTATTCTGTACCCCTCAAAGTTGTTCCCCTATGATATATAACACTTCTACCAGTGTTTTTTTTTCCAATTTTCGATGCTGTTCTGATATGCACTTTTGGGTCTTTTTTGGGTCTCTCCAGTCTCGGGAACAGGAAAAAATCGCAGAGGGGCAAATCTGCTGAATATGGTGACTGAGGCATGATTGAACTTGACGTGCTTTTTTTATCTTGGCTCTTCCATTGGGACGATGGGACTTTGGTTTCGATGTTCATAACCATATAGGTATAGTCGAAGTAAACGATATTGTGCACTCTCAAAAGGCCAAAAAAAAACAATATATTAGTCCATGTGAACTGTAGAATTGGCGGTTCGTATTTGATAATTTTTACTAACCGAGTTTTATGGTTGGCTGAAGAGTCATAAAATAAAATTTGAAGTCATATTACGGTGACGAATAGAAATCGGGGAATGCTGGGATGGCTATCGCCGTCAGGTTCTGTTCAGGAACTGATCGCGATTTGAGTGTTGAAATTTGATATTGGTGCAGTTATAATTACTTAAAATGTGGAGTCCTTGGACAAGTACTACTTAATAGTAATAACAAGTCTGATAACAACGCAGACTTTTTCCAGTGTAGTGATTCCAATAGCGATGGTGAACAATGCGAGAAAGAGATACCAGTGAATAAGACTCGGATGCATTTGAATATTGAAACACAGAGAGTATGTTTCAATGTACATAAGAATCTACATCTCAAGTTTGGTTTCGAGGGAAACAAACTATTACACAGCAACATCAAATTTGACCGAAATTCCTTTCTCAACTGTACATAAAATAGTCAAAAACAAACCTTATGAATGCAAGACGCGATGTGATACAGGATTACCAAAACCTTTAGATGTTCATCTAATAAATTCATTGAAAAAACAAATATACGACTGTTACAAAAGCAATGAGAGTCCTACAACTGAAATCATAAGGAAGAAATAGAATACTTCCAGCCCTAACGTGAGCTGCTGTGACAAAACTCTTCAGAATTGGATAATGAAACTAGGATTCAGATTTAAAATAATAAACAAACGTTAAGTAGTTATGGAAAGCGTAACAAATACTTAGAACAAATAACTAAATATAGATAAGAACAACGTCAAATTTTCTATGTAGACAAAACTTAGTATGACACTAACGACATAGTTACGAAAGGGTGGGCTGATGGTTCGAGAATGTGTACGCTTACCATGCCTGCAAACAAAATTTGATAAGAAGGTAATAGAGCTAATTCAAGAAGAAATATCTAATATTACCGAAGAAGACTGGCATTTGATTCCACCAAGCAGTACATATCAGAAATACGCGACGGACTGTGGCTGCTCATCGTTTTGAGGTTCAACTCAGTTCACCTCGAAATTTACTGTTCAAGAACTCTTTCGTTTGGAGAACTGCGTTCATGTGGAATAAACTTCCTGAGAACGTTTTTCCAAATGGATTTAATCTCCAGAGATTCAACTCGAATGTGAATCACTACTGTCGTACAGGCACCGCTTTTAAAGCGCATTAATGATTTTCCTGTAGTGCTTCTGTTTTGTCCTTAAATAAATAAATACTGGAACAGGTCGTTTTTAATTTTGAAATTACTATTTCGTCGTGTAGTTTTTAAACACTCGCTCCTCCATCTGAGGGGTGGCAACACCAAATTTTAGTTACTATAAATTCGACCTACTATAAATTCACGTCGAGACATTCCCTAATATACGAAAAAAATTCTTGTTGAACTTCAGCTATTATTTCTTGGGTGATTGATTATTTCTGAATCTTGCTTGTTCTGGTTTTTATCAGCCCAGAAATATTTGGAAATAATTGGATGTGTATAATGAGTTTTGTAGTAACAAAATTCTGTCATCGGTTGCAAAAGGATTTTCTGCATTAGGAAAAAATGCTGCCTAAGTAGGTGATAATTCATCTCGGAGAAAGTTCAATAATCCTAGAATGGGATTATACCCGACCAGACATCATCAAACTTTTACCTTTATATGCTATTCCACCATCCAAAGCGGATTTTGAACTGCCCACAAATTTATTATACATGACTCTAAGAAAATGCCTAGTATGCTACGGTCCTCGCAACATACCTAAACAATTATATTTGAAAAGATATATTCATGGTGGCTTCGAAGAAGTTTTACTGAATCGAATAATAAGCATTGTCGAGTTCTACAAAATTGTTTATCAAGTTTTTTCGATAATTTTGATAACACGGAAGATATTGATAAAATAATTTTTTTTATAATTTCCGAATCGAATGATAATATCGAGAATTGTTAAATCGTAATTTTATGCATCTCAAAAAGATCTATAAAAATATCTGAACACTTTTCATAGCATTGAAGAGAACAAAATCCGGGTTGGTAAGCCGTGGTCGAAGGGAACCTAGAGTACCAAGCGTTTCGTCTGCTACTGCGGTAGGTATCAACAGTGATATGTTTATTTACTGCGAGAAAGAAATACATATCTCGAAGTCCCATTGGAATTCCAATGTCTACCGCCTTATTAGATCGCTCCGTACCGCACTGTCGCTTCACTTGACTATATCTGATATGCACGTGGGTAGCGTAGGGAACTCGCAAGAAATCTATCGAAACTACGCGAAAACTAGAACAATCGCGCAATTGAGCGCGATTTTGGTCACGTCACAATTGTTTTGCGACGGTGAGCGGTGGCCGGTGTATTTTTTTTTTGTCAGGGAATTATTCACAATATATTTCTTTAGGAGCAGAGGGACATTAATTCAACAACGACTATGACGTATTACATTTGGAAGATAACAGTTTGGAATACTTGAAAATAAATAGATTTTAAAATTCAGAAAATTCATTGAATGGCTAAATAGAATTGAATTCTTTCCCATTGTTAAATATGTCAAGAACTATTACACTATTCGCATACAAATTTGGGATCAATATCAGCCTCCATGTTTTTATAATTCATATAATTGCAGTCCTCAAGTTTTTTTCCACATTATTTCAAAGAATTCGGAACCCATCGTTCACTTCCTCCTCAATGCACAATGATTAGTCGCAATCCTTTGTTTGAGGGATGTTAGGCGTATACATTCTCGAACCATCAGTCCACCCTTTCGTAACTGTGTCGTGAGGGTCATACCAAGTTTCGTCCAAATAGAAAATTTGCCGTTGTTCTTGTCTATATTTAGTTATTTGTTCTAAGTACATGTTGAACAATTCCACTATTCTTCTGCTATCCATAACTGCTTGACGTTTGTTTATTATTTTAAATCTAAATCCTAATTTCTTTATCCAATTCTGAAGAGTTTTGTCACAGCTCACGTTATGGCCGGAAGTATTAAATTTCTTCCTTATGCTTTCAGTTGTAGGAATCTCATTGCTTTTGTAACAGTCGTATATTGTTTTTTTCAATGATTTTATTAGATGGACATCTAAAGGTTTTGGTAATCATTTATCACATCGCGTCTTGCGTTCATAAGGTTTGTTTTTGACTATTTTACGTACAGTTGAGTACCTAAGGAATTTCTGTCAAATCTGATGTTGCTTGTAATAGTTTGTTTCTCTCGAAACCAAACTTGAGAAGTAAATTCTTATATACGTTGAAACATACTCTTTGTATGTCAATATTCAAGTGCATCCGAATCTTTTTCAGTGGTATTTCTTTGTCGCATTGTTCACCATCGCTACTGGAATCACTACAGTGGAAAAAGTTTGCGTTGTTATCACACTCTTTATCACTATCAGTACTTTTCCAAGGACGCCACATTTTAAACAGATAACAAAAATAAGTAATTATAACTGCACCAATATCAAATTTCAACGCTCAAATCGCGATCAGTTCCTGAACTGAACACGACAGCGATAACCATCACCGCATTCCCGATTTCTATTCGTCACCGTAACATGACTTCAAATTCAATTTTATGACTCTTCAGCCAATCATAAAACTCAGTTAGTAAAAATTATCCAATACCAACCGCCAATTCTTCAGTCCACGTGGACTATTTCGCAGCCGGTTCATTTCTATGTATTGGTTTTTTTTTGGCCTTTGAGAGTGCCGACAACTTAAGTGTGCACAATACCGTTTATTTCGACTATACTTATTGCAAAAATTATCATTTTTAGTCATCCTTTAGTATTGTCATATGAAAGAGGGAATAAATAAAATATAAAATGATTAATTTCATTCGAACACATTCAGTTTCGATTATTTCGTAATTATATAATACTCACGGCGTTATTTCACAATACCATATATTCGTTCCGAAAAGAAACTTATCAAATAATACCTCTATAATCATACCGCGAAAAAAGTGAAACTTCCATTAGCTAAACCGCTAATAGACTATGCAAACGACATTTATTACGTTAAAATAAACATTGAACGTTCAGATAAAAAATGCAGTATTGACTTCGTCGATGTGCAGGAAAATTTTGTCAGGCTAGTGATGTTAAGTTCTTATCAAACACCGATTGTTGAAGAATTCGAAGATATCTTACTTCAGTAGTTGTGTGTTTTTGTGTAGAGTTGATCCAAAAATGGCTATCGTTTTGCAGACCTGTCCGCAGTTCGTGAAGCTATCAGATTTGGAATGTCAGAAACCTCGAGTGGACCTCAACTTTGTCACCCGAATGAGTCGCTCCATCCCCGAGAGCTCGTGGGTGGAGAGCCCCTTTCTCATGTCACATTCCATGGGTTATCGGACGGCCCCTCACCCCTTGGAGGCAGAAAACAGTGGAACTAATTCGGATTCGGATGTTTCTCTGCCACCGGAGGTATCTCAGCCAAAAAAATGCGTCCGGAAATTGGGAACGGACCTGTTGCGCATGTTCCTGGAAGAAATCGGACCGGATGTCGTCGTGGAAGTCGAGGGGCGCAAGCTGAAGGCACACAAGTGTATTTTGGCTTCGAGATGTCAGTATTTTGCTGCGCTTTTGAGTGGAAATTGGTTGGAGAAAAGCGGAAATATCATTTCCATGCAGGTGAGTTTCATTTTATTAATTATGTATTTTTATCGTTTTCAATTCGATTCAATTTGTTTGTTAGCCATTCATTTATTTTACCAATCCATATATGCGGGATTTTATCAATGCATTAATGCCGAGATGAAAAAATAAGTTATACCTCTTTTGTAGTGTTTGGGAAAACTAATAATAGTAAACTTTTACGAAGCGCGCGCACGCCGTCACGAAAAACCGACACCCTGAAGTTACCCTCTTCTTCTTCTTCCTTAATTTATATGGCCGTTTTTCTCAGTCGAGCGCATTTGGCCAGACTGACTTGCTCGAGGCAATGCTGACACCCTAAGTTTTCTCATTCACTTTTCATATAGTCGATCCAAAAATTCCCGAGTAATCAATGAAAAACAAAATATATACCCAAAGCAAGTTTGGATGTATATTTACATGAACCTTTTCTCATTAAATATGACAACGAATTACCGATTGAAATTTAAGTCATCACTTATGTTACATCCTGAGGCTTGCCACACAATTTTCGAATAAACGCAATTTACTTTTTAACGCAATTTACTTTTTATCGCAATTTCTCTTTTATAGGTTGATTGACATTTATCTAAACGTTCGAAAGTGTTTCACTGTCTATCGATAGAAATTATCAGACGACGTGTGTAATAGCGTCCTAGAAAACGGTGAACGATCTAAGAGTCTTGCTAAATAAAAAGTGATGAATTTCATTTCGTAATATTCGAAGAAACACTTCTTGTAAACGGGGTTCAATACTACAATATAAGGAGATCTGATCTGTATATTAAAATCAATAGAGTCGACAATTTCTGAAAATGCCATTAGTCCAGTTCAAGTGCTGTTTGCAAAAATTTCAAAAGTTATAAACAATTACCTGAAAGAAAAATGTGGTTTTTTACTAATACCTCAAAAACTATTTGACATTAATCAAATTTGAAAAAATATTCAAAAAGAGGAGGAAATGGTTAAATAACAAATCTGAGATTTTTTCTTTTTTAGAGCAGGTAAATTGAATTATCATTTAAAAAGAACTGTACCTACATCAAAAATCAATCTGTTTCGTGATTTTTTTAATAAAGTTGTTTATTTAGCTAATTATCAATTTGTGCATTACTTTATGGATGCACATTATATATACAGGGTGTAACTGAATAAGTGTAAAACATGTAAAGAGGTGATTCCTCATCGAGAAAAAGATAGGATCTTTCTTATAAAAAAAAATTCATTGGAGCATCCCTTGTTGAGATACAGGGATGAAGGGGGTACATAAAATTTGTATAACAATTTGTTTCACAAGCACTGAAAAAGTTACAATATTGAAATTAACCTAACGTTTTGTACTACCAAAAGACACTTAGCCAGTAATTTATTTGGTTTACCCCATGGTTGTAAGGGGCGGAAAACGCAACCCCTAAAATTTATTTCCAATGTAACTTTTTGTCTTATTATGTGTTTACCATTCAAAAATTTATTTCCGATAGCCTGTTTCATTCTAAACAAAAAATGTTTCTTGGGTTTTTTGCCCAAAATAAACCAGTTCGCGGCAAAAAATTATTTTAGGAACAACTACGGAGATACATCGTCATAAATGCGAACTGGATTTATGTTTATTTTGTAGTTACTACCTGCATTAAACGATTAAAGGGTAATAAACAAAACTAATTTATTAATAACAAAACACACAACATGTAGAAATCATAGTAAATGTTCAATATGTCTACCTTCAGACATTACCCATGCGTCTAGACGTCGGCGCATTAAGCCTCGTATTCGCTCAAATATTCCTGGAGTCTCTCTAATTACCTTGCACACATCGATGATGCGGTTTCTTAAGTCCTCCACATCGCGAACAGTTAAATGCTGACTTGCTACTTGACTAAAATGGGCGGGAGCCCCATCACGTATAAAAACATATCCCTTCTGACGCCCAAAAGAACTTCCTCCAGCAGTACTGGAGGAAGTTATGCTGATGATACCAATCTTCTATTAACAGGTGCGAACTTACCTGATATTATAAAAAAGGGTAGCAAAATAATAGAACAATTCAAAGATTATTTTTTAGAGAATAAGTTAGTTCTGAACGATGAAAAAACAAATTGTATCATGTTCAAAGTCAATAACAGTATAGAAACACCACAAAACATAATTATGCACAATCAAAAAATCATTTGTAATACTTCAGTGAAGTTTCTAGGCAGATACATTGATGACACTTTAAGTTGGAGTAGTCAGATAGACAACCTTTGCAATAAACTATCCTCGGTAACATACGCCATGAGAGTTCTAAAAAAAATGTTGATCTTGAAGCACTAGTTACAGTATATTATGCGAATTTTTACTCCGCTATGAGACAAGGGATAATCATCTGGGGCTCAAGTCATGGGTTTAATAGAGTTTTCCTATGTCAAAAAAAATTATCAGAATAATCTTTAATATAAATACAAGAGATTTCTGCAGAGGAGCCTTTTAGTTCAACAAACTACTTAGTGTGTCAGCAATCTATATATATGAATCAATAAAATTTATTAGCAATCATCCAGGCCATTTTGGTATACATCGTTAAACGCATATTTACGAGAGAAGACAAAAAAAACTTCTCATGTCCCATCCATTCAAAATCCCTATATGAACGTAGCACTATATATGCTGGAATGAAATTTTATAATAATCTTCCGAAAAACATAAAAGATATTGTTGTTGCTAACAGATTTCTGAAATCTGTAAGAAAATTCTTATATAATCTAGAGCCCTACAATACTGATGAATATTTTCTGGCCTGTGGAAATTTATGAACCAAATTTTATTCAAAATTGCGCTATGTATTTATAGAAATTATCTCTACTACTTTCAGTAATCATGCGTAATATGACGCACATTTTAATATGTTTGTGATCGTGTTTAAAACTTGAAGTTATTCATTTTGAATGCTTCATTTTTAGATTTATATGTACACATATTTGATATTTTCACAATTTTCCTTTTGACGTATTTCTCAGACAAAAATATTCTGCCACTCCTGTGAATGATTATAAAAAGCAGAGTACTGTTGAAATAAATGTATCTATCTATCTATAGCCAATAACTCCGAGCCTCACGTTAAGAATAAACTGTTCTTGATGGTTAGTTTCGACATATGTGGTAATTATGAAAATTAATAATCTTGTCCCGAGAAAAACTACATTCGTCTGTGCATTCTATCGTCTTATAATGATTTGCTGCCAACTGGTTTATTTTGAGTAAAAAACCCAAGAGACGAGACATTTTTTGTTTAGAATGAAACAGGCTATCGGAAATAAATTTTTAAATGGTAAACAAATAATAAAACAAAAAGTTACATTGGAAATAAATTTTAGGGGTTGAGTTTTCCACTCCTTACAACCATGAGGTAAACCAAATAAATTTCTGGCTAAGTGTCGTTTTGGTAAGTAGTACAAAACGTCAGGTTAATTTCAATATTGTAATTTTTTTAGTGCTTGTGAAAAAAATTGTTATACAAATTTTATGTACCCCCTTCAAGGGGCTGTATCTTAACAAGGGATGTTCCAATGAAATTTCTTTATATGAAAGATCCTATCTTTTTTTCGATGAGGAATCACCTCCTTAAATGTTTTACACTTATATAGTTACACCCTGTAGTATATAAGAATGGGAGATAATCAGTCTTTATGTTATCCAGGGCTTTACTTTACTATTTTTATTCTGTAATGACTGATACCTTGTTAAAAAATTTCGTAGTTTCCAGTAATTACGAATAATAAAACTATACATTTATTATTTCTATAGGGGTTCTCATACGAGTCCATCTACTTTGCCCTTTGCCATATCTACAGCGGTGCGGCCCATGTTCCGGATTCCATCAGTCTTGTCGAACTCGCTTCTCTCGCTGATATGCTGGGACTCGAAGGATTGAAAGAGGTAGTTGAACATGCTTTAAAGCAGAGACACTGCCACAATTTCCACAAGCCTTGCGCTGGATGTTGCACTGGGGTCCTGGAAGTACTGCCTTTGTCTGCTGCTTATGGTCTGGATGATCTATATCAAAGGTATGTACATTTTATTGTGAAGGACCTTGTTAACGCACTAAATGGTATTTAATTTTTTTTCATTTTCAAGGCCCATATCTATTTGTATCAAGTGCGAACACAATATGTTACGGTTAGTAGAAATGGAGTTCTGCTGCATTTTTATCTTTACCACTTTGACACTCATAACTGTATAAATTGAACCACCATTTGTTGGTTTTTAGCGTCGCATCGAAAGATTGTTAGTTACGCCACAGCGACAAATTGGGGCGGGTATAATCTAAAGATTATACCTTTTCACGCAAATTTTGTCCGACCTTCTCCCTTTCAAAAATAAAGAGGAGGAGGATTCATTACATCGTCTCGTACCTAATTCGGTTTGAATGATTGATACAACAAAAAAATGCTTTCAAAAGCAAATGGTGTCATGTCGCATTGAACCAAGCAAATGCGGTGTAGGGGCCATTGACTCATATGGTACAGGCTTTCAAAAAATTCAAAAATTGCTTGTTTTCATCGACTGTTCAAACCAAATTATTTATGTTGAAATTCTTCATGTATCTCATGGCAGAATAACAAACAGAAACTGTGTGTGGGTGTAGCTTTGGTATTATGAAAAAAAAATGAGTTCTATTCGTGACAGGCTAGAATATCTGCCTTTTTTGTTAAATGTATTTATTGAGTGACGAGCACGGCGGTACAATTATGGTAAAAGCGGTTTATAGCACTTGTGAGAAATGTGTTCTGGAAATAGCTGGTATTCATCTGTGCATAGAATTTCAAAAGCATGTGTATCTTCAATCTAGAATTTATTTATTTATTCATTGCACGGGATCAACCTTTACAAGTATCAAATATAACAAATATTCATATTCAATTTAAAAACTCAAGAACAGTGTAAGTGAGATTCAAAGTAAAAGCACAAAGATAAACAGAATTATAGATTATACAAATCAAATTACAGAGATAAATGACGAGAATAATATAAGTAATAAGTGAACATTAAGAATTTGTTGATTAATTTTCAAATTGCCCTCAGAAGACATTTGAATTTTGACAGGCCTATACCTGTGATCTCTAGATGTAAATTTTTTTCATTGAACATTCTAAGTGAACGATCAATAAAAGAGTGCATTCCATAGTTTGCATGATGGAAGGAAATGTGAAACAGATCATTATTTCTGAGAGTTCTCTTACATTATCCTCACATGAAGTTTCGTAAAAATATGAAAGGCTGAACACCAACTTGCTCACATTGTGCCTTCTAGGGCGATTACAAAAAATTAATTAATTGTTCATTTATTTTGAAAGGACTACAAATGGGACGAATCCAATAAATATACAGTTGTGTTATCAAATTTACATCTTTTACACTGCTGAAAGATATGAACTTACATGTAGCAGTAGCAAAAGAATTAAATTGTTTTTTGAGTTTGCTCACAAAGGTGGTAAAAAATATTTCTATTACATTATTTAGATGAGCAATAGTCTCATGATATATTTAAATATTACTGAATTACCGAAAATATTGTGATTTGGAAATATTGAAAATACAATATAAAAAATGTCATCTTCCCTACTATCATATGGGAGTACATCTCACCTTTTCATGAAATGCTAACCATTGAAAAATAACCTTTTTTAAAAAATTACATCAAAATCTTGGTCACTAAGAGTGCTATTCAATACAAATAACTAAGATTGTGTAAATTATATTTCTTCAAGACAATAAACCGTTCAATTATATTTTTCTTCTGCAGTTTGAGTTATTATGTACTATAAGAGTTATTTTTATATGAAATAAGGAAACTAAAATAACTTCAAAAATTTTCCAAATCTATATTTAAAAACGTTTCTCTAAGCCACTTCGTTTAAAAAAATCTGTTTAAAATCTGTTTTTCCGTTAATCAGCTGTCGCCTATATAGCTTTAAGATGGATAGCTTCATAAATGAATTTCACTAGTTCTGACTTCAATTGTCTAATATATAAAATGATTTGAAATCCCTGAAACAAGTAAAAAAGAATAATTAAAAAAGAATAGTTGAAAATAACAATTATATTAAGCAACAATAAACCTGAAATGAAATGATAGT